TGTGTGTGTGTGTGTGGCCAGCTCAGCCCACCAGGGGGCGGGGCTGGCTGGCATGTGGTGCTGGGGGATTGAACCGCGGTCCCTTGTGCTTTGCTAAGCTTGTTCTAAGTAGGTGCTTTAGACCACTGAGCCATCTCCCCAGCCCTTGTTGTGTGTTTTTATATGACACTAATGTTTTTGGACTTCCAGGTGGTTCTGTGTGGCTGTTCCTGACTTCATGAAGCTCACTCTTCTGGGCATGTGCATGCACACATACCTCTGCACATGCATACAGAAATGATACCTGCTTTCCTAGACTTGCTCCTCCCCTCCTTTTATTGCTGCCTGCTCTTTCCTGCCCCACATGTCCCCCACGTCCAGCCACGTCTCTGCCGTGTAGGGCCCTGTCTATGGTTTGAGGTTCATAAGGCGTGGGTGCCTGCTCACCCACTGCCCAACAGAACTTGCACTCACAGCCATGGGCCAGATCTAGGCCCTGCCCTGCCCAACCCCACCCCAATGTCTGCATATCTGCTAGGTCCCCTGCAGGACTTCTGTTGGTGCTGGTTTGTGTCCAGCTGCCTATAACTTGGATTCTGGATGGTATTTTCTCACCTAGGTTTGTTATAAGTGTTGCCTATGAGTTTGGTTTTGCTAATTGCTATTTCTGTTTTCATGGGAGGAGTCAGAGAAGTTTTAGAACTGCCTGTTTCACTGCCTTCCCAGTGTTGTAGGATGCCACAGTGGTATTTCCCAGCTCTTGCTATCCTGCCCAGAGAATTGGCCTGGACAATTGATGAACATGAAAAAGTAACAAAGAAAAAGGAGTAAGTGAAGAAAAAGAGAAGCATAAAAGAAAAAAGTAAAGATACGTCCCACAAGCAGAGTGGGCCACTGCAAGAACAGGAAGACAGCAGTGGTTCCAGAGGCAGTGATCAAAGTCTTTTTTACATCTTCTCATACCAGTCTGTTGAAAGTTGTTCTGCACACATTCCAGCTGTGATCTGACAGTTTCCATGATTGACAGGTCACACCCTGTTACCCAGCCAGCCTCCCCTTCAGACAGCCGGGGATAGTGTCTGGAGGGAGCAGGAGTGGCTGAGTGCATGCATACCTTCTGCTTTTAAGCCAGTTGAGTTGAGAGTCCTTAGGGTCTATTTTCCAAAACTGTTTGTTTTTGTTTCTTTATTTAAACTATTTTAACTTCTTAAGTGTACAGTTCAGTAACACTAATTGCATTTGCAAGCCAGAAATGGTAGTGCCAGCTACTCCACAGGCTGAGGCAGAAAGGTAACTTAAGCCCATGAGTTCAAGGCCAGCATGGGCAGTATTGGAAGATCCTGTCTCAAAAAAAGTAGAAATAGGCCAGCCAAATAGCTCAGTGGATTAAAGCACCTGGCCAGGGGTTCGATCCCCAGTCCTGCTATGCCGGCCCTGCCCCCAGGGCGCACTGAGAGGGAGGTTGAGACTGAGCATGGTAGCGCACGCCTGTAATCCCAGCTCTTGGGAGGCTGTAAACAGGCAGATCACTAGGAGTCTGACCTAGTAGTGAGACCCTGAACACCCTGTAGACCCTTCCCTAAAATACAAAAAAAAAAGAAAGTAAAAACAAAACCAACACCAAGGTGTACTCACAGTGTTCTGCAGCTATCCCCAGTGGTGTCCTCAGAACCCTTCCCTTATCCCAAACTAAAGCTCTACTCCCCAGCCCCGTCTCCACCCTTGGCCGCCCTCCTCTCTGTCTGACCACTCTGGGCTTTCTGTCAGTGGAACTATACATTGTTTGTTTTTCTGTAAGTGGCCTGTTTCACATGACTTCCATCCATGTCCTAGCTTGTGCTGGAATTTACTCCCTTAAGACTGCATGATGCCTCATGTATGTAGATAAAATGTTTTTCGTTCCATTGAATGGACGCTTGAGTTGCTCCCATCTGTTAGTGTTGTAATACTGCTATGAATAGCAAGTATATGTTTGAATCCCTGTTTCATTTCTGAATTGCATGACAATTCTGTCAGTTTTTGAGAAACCATCATGTTTTTTCCCACAACAGCTGCACCATCTGACATTCTCATCAGCACTATAAACAGTGCATCTGGTTTTTCCACATTCTTTGATATCTTTTTTACTTCTAGATTGGGAGCGGGATGGGGGCAGGGGAGGGGACACGCAACGCAATTGTGTCCAGAGCCTCACATATGCTAGGCAAGTGCTGTACCACTAAAATACCCTTTCTTAAAATACGATTTTGAGACAGGGTCTTGCTAAGTTGCCCAGGCTAAACTCCAGCTTCTCACTGCCTGCCTCCACCTCCTGAGTACCTGGGATTACAGGCAGGCACCGGGATGCTTTATGTTGTTTGTTTTGCAGTGTTAGGGCTTGAATCCATGACTTGGGGCATGTAAGCACTCTGTCCCAGAGGAGTGGAATTGCAGGCATGTGCTACCACCATACCCAGTTGTGCACACTATTTTAAAATTTTGGGGGGCTTTCTTAAAAGAGAAATAAAGAGATGTCTTACAATTGTCTAGTAAAAACAAAGTCAGCAGCTTATTACCCTTTCAAGGTGTGTCACTGTGCAGTCTGTCTTGTGAAGAGTTGGTGCACTTTGAAGAGGTAAGGGACTGACTGGAGAGGCAGAGACCGTGCGAGACCACCACCCTCAGCTACGGGCAGCATGGCGTGGAATTTATTATGCCTGGTACAGACAGATGAGTGAAAAGGCTGCCTTTGGGGAACAAAGAGAAGCGGGCCCCTTTTATAGGGATTGAAAGAAGGTGAGGGACAGCAGGAGAGATATTAATAAACATCAGTGACCCAAATTCTCTGGCAGTCTTGTCCCTCTGTGGGCAGGGTCCTTGAGGCATGTAAGTTTTCAGGTGGCTCCAGGTGTCTGGGGGACCTGCAAAATTCATCATCCTATACTATCTCTTTTACAACATCTAGTGTTCCATTCTTGCTGATGACAGTCATGGTGCTGAGCTGAGTTTCCTGCTGAGAATGATGCCTCTGCTGGCAAGCAGGTTGGCAGCTGAATCAAGTCCAGTTGGAGCCTTAACAGAAAAGATGGGGGTGTGTCCCCTTAGCTCCTGGAGGAGGTGCAGGCAGCAGTGGTTGGTGGCAGTGAGGGTCATGTCTTCTCCTGGTCTTCCCTTGTGTGTGTGTCTATGTATATATCAGGATCCTGTATATTGTGATGCTGTGTTTGAGATGGGGTCTTGTGCTGACAGGCTGGGACTCAAAAGTTCCTCCTGCCTCTGCCTGCCGAGTCTAGGACCATAGGTGTCATCCACCCTGTGCTGTTTTTATGTGAGATTATTCTTTTTTTTTTTTTTTTGCTGAACCGGGGATTGAACTCAGGCCCTTGAGTTTGCCAGGGAAGCGCTTATTCCACTGAGCCATCTCCCCGGCCCCATATGTGAGATTATTCTTTACCCTGTACTTAACTAATGGTTGTCCTGGTCAAGGGGTTAATTAGAGTCATCAGAGTCTTTGCTGTGCCGGGGACTGAACCAGCACTGTGCTCAGAGAGCATGCTACCCTGTGGCCACATCTGCAACTGACTCCTAAGGGGCTCCTGCCATTTGGGTCTAGAATCATTTGACCTGAAGAATCTTTACTTTCAAGAAGTTAAGAATTGGGGCTGGTGAGATGGCTCAGTGGTCTAAAGCACCTACTTAGAACAAGCTAAGCTAAGCAAACCACAGGGACCGCGGTTCAATCCCCAGCACCACATGCCAGCCAGCCCCGCCCCCTGGTGGGCTGAGCTGGCCACACACAAAATAAACAAATAAATAAAATTTAAAAAAAAAAAGAAAACCATTAAAAAAAAAAAAAAGAAGTTAAGAATTAGCTTATTTTGTGTCTCTCCTAAACCCCTTTCCTTTATGATCTCCCCCTAAATGAAGCCTTACGTTATGGGCATACAGGTGTGAATAGTAAGTCCTTCTCTGATAGGCTCTTAATGAAGAGGTGTGACTTCCTAAAGGTTCTGATGGAGAACATTGCTGCCAAAACATGAGATGCTGGTGTCTTCCCTGCCCCAGTTTCAGTCTCAGGCTCTGCAACTTTGAGGTTTTGTTGTCATTATTTTGCAAAAGACTCAAGTCCATTAGTCCATTGGGACAGTGTGACTCTGTATAGATAACATTAAATATTGGAAATGTATGCATTTACCTTTCAGTTGTGATTTACCTACATCCAAATCAGGTTCTTTACATGCAAGAAAGAAAAGAGTTGCTAGCACCAAAACTAACCCAAAAGTAATTAGATTTTAAATGTATTCCATAAAACTTTATTTTTCTTTCCTTCCCAGGTTCACCTCCATTTCCCAATGTGAGCGATTTACATCATTAAGATGAGTTGAATATAGATTTCAATTACTGTTCTTCCTAAGTGATAAGGATGTAGACTTGTAAGCAGGACAAGACTAATCACCTTAGCCTTACACTGCGGGGCCCATCGGTAAGGCTTAGAGAGCTCTTCCACAAAGCCCTTGCTCAGAACTTTTGTTTCTGCCTGTCTTTCTGATCAAGACTCCTGGGTGCTGAAGCCTGCGCGGGTTGTAAGGAGCCTGCACGGGAACATATAGGAGTAGGTGTCTCATTTGGAGTCAACTACTGCTTGTTCATCTCTTGCTCCTCCTGCATTGATAATCAACCCTGGAAACCTTGAGGAAGGCCTCTACCTTAAGTCATTTCTGTCTAAATGGACTGAACCAGGTTTAGGAGAAGATCCTTTGAGAAGTGTTCAGGTTGGGGGGGGATAGCTCAATAGAGTAAGTGCTTGCCTGGCAAGCTCAAGGTCCTGAGTTCAATTCCCAGTACCGAAAGAAAGAAAGAAAGAAAGAAAGAAAGAAAGAAAGAAAGAAAGAAAGAAAGAAAGATTGTTCAGGTGGATATCTCCCATTGAAACCATCCTGTAAGCCAGGCGTAGTAGCGCATACCTGTAATCCCAGAATTTGGGAGGCCAAGGGCAAGAGGATCAAGTTCGAGACTAGCCTGGGCTACAAAGTAAGCTCAAGGCCAGTCTGAGCTGCCTAGTAAGACCCTGTCTCAAAAACACCAAAAAAAAAAAAAAAAAAAAAGCCAGCTTGTTACCTTAATAATTATTAATCTGCTTTTCACATTAGTTTATCTGACATTCTTACATAAGAATTAGGAAATTAGGGGCTGGTGAGATGGCTCATGGTCTAAAGCACCTACTTAGAACAAACTTAGCAAAGCACAGGGACCACGGTTCAATCCCCCAGCACCACATGCCAGCCCGCCCCGCCCCCTGGTGGGCTGAGCTGGGGACACACACACACACACACACATAAATAAATAAATAAATAAATAAATAAAATTTAAAAAAAAAAAAGAATTAGGAAATTACTTTTAACATAATCTCCCCTTTCTTGCCTACAGTGAGGAACACTGAATATTCAATGTGAATAAAGATAACCAGTTTTAAGAAATAAGTTTCTCTAGCCCTTTATGTCCCTGGTCTGGCAGGTGTGCAAACAGGAGTACTTATTCATTGCCAGTGAGCAGAGAATAAGTCTGGATTCAAAATGTTGTGATTTAGAGATCCTGATCTGATACAGCCAGCAGGCTGAGCATCTGCTGTCCCGTAGGCACCTTTAGGAGTGAGTTCTCTAGGCTAGGCTTCTAGTCAGAAGAAAATGAAGACATTGCCTTTGGTTGGTAAAGCAGCTGAGATTTTTAAATATCTTCTCAGTGAAAATGCTTTTTCTGTTAGTACTATAAGTCTTGGCTGCAGTGAGAAATGCAAAGCCCTTAGGGTGCCCCTCAGATTTGCTTGTGAACCAGGTAATTCTAACACATTAGATTCAGGGTTCATTTGTATAGCAAGGAGTTGGATCTGTTGAGCAGTGGTTCCTTTCTGAGCAAGTTAATTTGCAGCTCACCACTTGGAAAGGGCAGTGACCTATGTTTTAGAATAAATGGTATGTTGAGACAAAACAAGTCACCAAAACTGACTAATGGGGGAAAATTACTTGCAAGTCCAAATAACTTACTATACAAATGCCTTTTCAGTAAATTGCCTCAGATTTATAAAATTACAGTTTTCAGGAATACTTGTGTAGAGATTAGGCTTCATATCCCTGGCAAGATTGCCAAATTTTATCAGTTCAAGTGAATATCATTTTTGCGCAGTGAAAAAGAAATTGGAATTTATTAATTACTTTTTCTCTTTTTTTCTTGCCAGATTTGGAAATGGCAGTTGCCTATTGGAAATTAGTGCTATCTGGAAGGTTTAAATTTTTAGATCTTTGGAACACATTCCTGCTGGTAAGTATCTACTCCTTGTAGTATGTGCCAGTCAGAAGGGAAACCAGGGGCCGGGGAGATGGCTCAGTAGGATAAGCACTGGACTGGCAAACGCAAGGATCTGAGTTCAATCCCCGGTTCCGCAAAAAAAAAAAAAAAAAAAAAAAAGAAGGGAAACCAGCCTCAGAGCTGCCTGCGATTGGGTAAACCGAGACCCACACAGAGGTCCTTGGGTATTGGGTGCGGTGCTGCACGGCCTATCACCTAACCAGGGTGTGGCAGCTGCTGAGCTTTGGGTGCCCCTGGCAGCTGCTTGAAACTCACTTGGCCTGTAATTCCTGCAAGATGGGCTTCAAGCCCTTGCCGCCTTCCACTTGCCACCTCTTTGAGGACACTGTGCTAATACTGTCCATGTCGACCAAAAAATTTAAGGTGCTGAAAGAAAGTGCCAGGACCATGCTTACTACAGATTGACACAGGCTGCCAAGCTGTGGGTGCTTAACTTCTGTGTGTGTCTGCAGTTCAGTGTCACTGTGGAAGGCAGACAGGCCATTGGCAAAGACAGGCTGGAAGCTCAGCCATCTTGGTGGAAGTTAGGGGCCAGGCACAGCTGCAGGATGTTTAAAGTGACTTAGTGTCCTGAGTCAGAAGCAATCTTCTGGGGGTGAAAAGGACACTCAGAAGCCCCAAGTTGTCACAAAGATGAAAAGTGACCATCTATGCAGCACTGCCCACAGCCAAACAAGGAGCACTCTTGTCTGATCCTTTGTGTCACTGAGCTTCCTGTAAGCTCTGTGTTCATGGGCAGGTTGCTTCCCTTGGTGCCTGCTTCATCAAGTGGAGACAAGCTGTGTAGGGTGGCATTGTGATGTCCTGCAGACCTTCGGGAAGCTTCATGTCAGCTGTGCTGCTCTATATCAGGTGCCTGTCACTTCCCCTAAAGTGCCCAGAGGTTAATAGGTGTGCCTGAAACCCCTTATTCCCCTGGGGTCATGCCAAAGCTGCTGGCCTTCCCCAGGAGCTCATGCCTGGGTGCACAAACATGCACTGTGGGGACAGCAGAAAACTGGGGCGTCTGGTGTATGTCTGCAAGAGCGGGTGAAGAGGAGTAAGGAATCAGTGCAGGAGTGCACAGCTACAAAGCAGAGATAGTGCATGGAGCTAGATGAACCTGTCAGTCTGGAAGCTTCAAATGGTGCTGGGTAAGTGAAGAAAATACCATGGGCAGCTGCCTACATCATTTTGTAGCAGAATATTTTTAAAATGCAAAACAAGCTTTAGCTAGGTATGGTGACAAGCATCTGTAATCCCAGCACTTGGTATGCTAAAGCAGGAGGAGGCTCACCATGACTTTGAGGTCAACCTGAATTACCTAGGGAGACACTGCCTTTAAAAAAAAAAAAAAATACAAAACAGGGTTTTAAGCTGCTTCTGATTCTGCACCTATGGATGTACAAGGGCAGACCTGACGTGGCTGAAGCCAGCAGAAGGGAGAAGTGGCCACGAGGAGCAGCTGCAGCACCTCGCCTCTGGGGTAAAGTGTAATACATAGCTCCAAAATCACCTGTCTCAGGAGCTGCTTGAAATGTAGAAGAGGAGCCTTTGGGACCAGGAATGCAACTCAGCAGCACAGCACCTACCTAGCAAGTGGGAGGCCCCTTGGGGCCTGGAACTAACAAAAGAAAAACGCACATGTTAGCTGGAGATGGAGCCTAGTCACAGAGTGCTTGCCTAGGGTGCATGAGGCTTTGTGCTCAATTCCAAACACCCTCCCCAAGAAAGAAAATTGAGAAGTGCTGAGTGAAACAGAGTGTAGTTGTGATGAACGGGTCTCGTTTTCTTCTCCAGTAAGTTTGAGTGTCTGGGCCTGGCACTGTTGGAGTGCTTGCTGTGCTCCATTACTGGGTGAGGCCTTCACTACTGCCCTCGTTCCTCCTTGACGAAGGAGGCTTACTCCAAGGCAGGCCGCTTGGCCACTAGGGTGTCTGCGAGTAAGCAGTGAACCCTTAATCTGATGGATGGTTTTTCTCTTGAACATTAGGAGCATCACAAAAGATCAATTCCAAGGGACACTTGGAACCTTCTGCTCGATTTTGGAAATATGATAGACGATGACATGTCTAACTACGATGAAGAAGGTACTGGAGCCTGAGGCCTTCCCAGAGAAATGGCTCTTCCTGTTCCCTCCCATGAGGGGGACACAGGATGCCCGCTGGCATGTTTGCTCTTGCAGATCTCGTGAGACATGTGCTGTTTAAGCTGACAGACAGGTGCCAGCTTCTGCTTATTGCCCTGCATGTGGTTCCACGCTGCTACCCTCAGTGCCTCGGAGCCGCGTCCAGGTCCGCGCAGCAGTGTCCCCACTAGGACTTCCTGAGGCAGCCTCTGCACACCCCTCATCCGCGGCCTTCCCCTTTCACTTGGCACCAGCTCCGTTCTGTTCCTCACAAGCCCAGCTTCTCTGTGTCCTCTGCACTTGGCAGAGTATCTGTGTACCACCTACCGATGCTTGTGAATGAGCCTGTTAGTGAGGCCAGCCTTGCCTCCAGGAGCATGAGCTACAGCTAGTCAAGTGACAGCCCAGGCCTGAGGCAGGCTGTGTTGTGTGGCCAGCAGCTGCAGGGGCTCCGCTGTGGGAGACTAGGCAGGAAGGCAGCGCTTCTGGTGGAGGGATGCCCCGTGACTCCAGAGAAGTGGCTCTGTGTTCCCAGCCTAGAGGGAGTGGGCCCATTTCTCTACACCCAGGATGGTGCTTCCTGACTGCCTGGAGCTGGTGGCAGACTTGCTGGCCATGATATGCCTGTCGTGAGTGCGCATGTTACCCCACCAGCTGTGCCCACCTGCCACTCACTGACCCTGGCTGCCTGGAGAAGAGCATTAGGGGAAACAAAATATAGAAAGTGTCCGTAGCACTGGCCAAGCTGGCGCGTCATCGGTGGCCCTTGCCAGTATGAGCGCGGCCCTGGGCTCATGCTCAGGCCCTGACAGAGAACAGGAAGTTGCTGCGGCACTGATTTTAAAGATCTTCTGTTTGTTTCCCCTTTAGGAGCCTGGCCTGTTCTCATAGATGACTTTGTGGAGTATGCACGGCCTGTAATCTCAGGCGGAAAACGCCGCCCCTTCTAGGAGGAACACAGCGGAGGTCCTGCAGAGACAGGGGCCAGTTGCTGTGTGTATCCCTCCTTAGCAACCTTCCTCACCAGCCACGAGACAGGAGCCTGCACTCTGCTTCAGGGCTCCAGTGGCTGCTCTGCCACTCCAGGAGAAGCTCCTTGTAGGGCAGCTGCTTTAGGAAGTTGCCTGTGACCTGAATTCATACAGTAACCACTGCTGTTTGCAGGACTGCAGAGCCTGCTGTTCACCTCATGACTTAGGCGATCACCAGCAGTTACAAACTGCTGAGCTGGAATTGCACGTAAAGAGCAGTGTGTGCGTCTTGGGCCGATGGTACACTTCTGTATAAGTCAGAGCTGTTCAAAATGTGCCCTAGCTGGGTGTGGTGGCGCACACCTGTAATCCCAGCACTTGGGAGGCTGAGGCAGGAGGATCGCTGCGAGTTTGAGGCCAGCCTGGGCTACCTAGTGAGTTTAAATCTAGCCTGAACTACATAGCGAGACCCTGTCTCAGAAAGACCAAAAGAAAAATGTGCCCTACTGGCAGTGACCTTGCTAGAATCTGATGTTTTCTAATCTTGGTGCCAGAAATTCAAGATTTATATTTTTGAATTATTTGATATTTAGATTTACCAGATCTATTTTTATTTTCATTTTCTCTAGATGTTTATTTGAAAACCATTTTGCACTTTGGAGCTGCTGTTAGTTTGCACAGCAGGTGACACGCTGGGTGTGATTCCAGCAGTTTTATTTTAAGCTGTTTACAGGCCAGTAAGCCTATTTTACTTCTAATAATGTTACTTGAACTTCCTGAGAAGTTGATATTTTTAATATGTTATTATATTTAAAAAGACATTTTTCCATGAAAAATATTTCTTTTTGAACAATGAATTACAGATTTAAAAATCAAGTACACTGGCTCCTTTCACCTCTGTGATACCCTCAGCCCCCAGAGGCAGTCCTGCAGGCAAGCAGGAGCAGCACGCTGCATGCAGAGCAGTGCCCCCCGCCTGCTCAGGCGACCTCGCTGTCCACTGTCCGGCTCGCTGTCCACTGTCCGGCTGGTCAAGCTCTGCTCGGGCACAGGCATGGAGGACCCAGTCCTCCCAGTTCTCCTGGTATCGCACTTGGAACAGCACTGTACCGACCCTGCCTCATGTTTGCCAAGACTTCACAAGTGTGCCTTGCCACCCAGCCGGGAGGCCGTGGAGCACAGGTGGGGCTTGCTCCAGGATGGGTGTCCCTTACCTGGACGCAGCTCTTCACAGCCCAGGGCTAGTGTGTCCTGCCACAGGGTGAGCAGTCAGTGCTTCTGAATGGTGCAAGCCTCCTGAGGCCCACAGGGGCACAGGGCTGGGGAACTGTCTCCCCTGCAGCCAGTGAGTGTGGGGCTGTGGGGACCTTCCTCGGGTCTGGCCAAGTCTATAAAAAGGGAAAGCTGGGGGTCTCCTCCTTCAAAACCCTGACTCAGTATTTATTTCCCATAATAAAAACCTACGAAACATGGAAGCATCCTGGGCTTTGCAGCTTCTTTGCCTGTGATCATTCTGTTCAGAGAAGTTTATAGATGTCAAAAAACTAAATTATGGGGATCTGAAGTGCTTTTTAAGATTTAAAGTTCTGTGGGGCTGTTAATAGACACCAAGTTATGAATTGGAAAATGGCTGCTCAAGAAACTGTTTTCCTGTGTAGAGTTGTGCATGCTGTGAAAATAGTAAGAATTCAGGAACACCAGAATAAACTATTTTCTGTGGTGGTGTGCTGTCCTCTGTTCTCAGTCGCACAGGTGTTGTCCTGGGCTTCTTTGTGGCAAGAGAAAGCAAGCCCCTTGCCCACATGTCTGATCTGCCACTGGTCAGATGGTCTTGGCCCTGGTTACAGCTTTGGTGGCCATCGCAGTGCCTGCTGAGCGTGGTGGTTCCCAGTGAGGGGGAGTCACGTAGCGGCGCGATGCACTGTCCAGCTGAGGCACCCTGAGCGTCACCCACCACCATCGCCTGCTCCTTCCTTGAGGGCCTGCCAAGGTCTGGGGTAGGTGTCACTGTCTTCAGCAATTTCAGTACCTGTTGTGCTAGGCTGTCCCAGTACAGTTCAGGTTTCATAGGGCAAGAGTAAGTTTTCTTGTGGCCTTGTTGCGATAGCCACTGTTCTGAGTAGTGTGGGGGGCTGTAAGTACTGAGTGGATAGATGAACAAGCTAACCCCGTCTCTTAGTTCGAGGTAGGCTGTAGGGTGGGAGCTGTTCCCAGGCACCCTTGAGCAAGCTTCCTGCTGTCTCCTGGCTGGCTGTTCTGCTGGCTGCTTGTCCGTCCGCCTTGACGCAGCCTGCATACCTCCTCTCCCTGAGGGAGTTGTGGTGTCTTGGCTGGACCTCAGCTAGTGCTGGTAGCAGACTGTCAGTAAGGCCCTCTCACTGTGGTGTGGCGCACAGATTCTCATCAGGTGTTCCCTGAGGCTGGGTTCCAGGGCAGCGGAAGAGGAAAGCCGCCGCCTGGTGCCTGGCTGGCCTCGTTTCAGTTTGCAATCTGCCTCAGCCCAGCCTTGTACTTGTGGAGGTCGTAGTTCTAACTCTTGGAGCAGGCAGGGCGTTCTCTCTCATGAGCTCTGCGTCCTGTGGTTGTGCAATTGCTGCTGTGCTTCTCTGCACAAGGTCCAGGGCTGGGGAGATGGCTCAGTGGAATGAGAGCTTCCCTGGCAAGTGCTAGGGCCTGAGTTCAATCCTCGGTCCTGGAAAAAAATACAAACCCAAGGTCCAGTGCAGAGCAGCAGAGGGGGAAGTGTCAGAAACCTTCGTGAGGAGCGGAGAGCACCTTCTCTTCACGCTGCACCTTTAAGGCTGTCACACATTCAGAAGACAGATTTCCTAAAGAAACTGACACAAAATGGCAAATACAGGATTTCTGGAAAATTTTACTACATAGCAAAGTAGTATGGTGCATTTCTTTGAAACTCTAGAAGAAGCAAAGGAGTGACAGCAGCAAGGTGTCCCAGGACTGATAGAGCAGACAGGCAGAGGTCGCCTCCGGGTAGACGACGAGCCTGTGAGCTGCTCAGGTTTCCACCTGTGGCGCTCAGCCCCGCCCATGGGTGCCCTGCAGAGGCCCCTGGGCCTCAGCCCCTGAAGCAGTGAGGTGACGGTGACAGGATCCAGTGGAGCTGGCACCCAGCAGCTGCCCACGTGGTGGGTGGGGTCAGAGCCTCTTCTCATTGGTGCCACCTCAGAGACAGGACGGGAGCGCCTGGCCACTTGGAGAACGCTGGACAGTGATACGATGACCAGTATAAATGTCAGCAGGGAGGCTGAGGGCAGGGAGGGGAGGACACCGCGCTGCGGGCCAGAGGAGGCGCCTCCTGAGATGGAGAAGTTCAAAGCGGCCATGCTGCTGGCAAGTGTTGGCGACGTGCTTGGCTACGGGAGCGTCTGCAGGGAGAACAGTGCTTCAGGCTCCATCCAGGAGCAGCTCCAGAAGGTTGGGGGGCTGGACCACCTCGTGCTGTCTCCAGGAAAGTGGCCAGTGAGTGACAACACCGTCATGCACATGGCGACCGCCGAGGCCCTTACCACAGGTTGGGCTCCCTGTTGCTTTGCCAGCTGTGCTTAGGGTGGGGTGCTTGGCTGCTCCAGCTCACAGTGAGCCCGTGCAGCTTGGAAGCTCCATCCGTGAGCTGTGTGTTACCTGATGCCACTGCCGAAAGTGGCAACTTAATACTCCCAGTGTCCCTCAGCAGATCAGCCAGGCAGCAGGTCAGTTACTGCTGCAGTGGTGCTTTGAGGGGCGGTGTTACCATCTGTAGATAATAAGATTCAACTTACAAGCTGTGGCTAGCACTTGTGGAGAGTGAGCCAAGCCTGCGCTGTGGCTCACCAGCTGTGGAGCAGCTTCTTAGCTGTTTAGAGGGGACTGGCCATGTGGGGCTGAGCTACTAGCCCTGAGTTCATTGTGGAAGAACACAAATGTGGGCTTGAACCCATTAGGATGATTCTGTTTGGACCTTGTGTCACATTCCAGCAAACTGCTCACAGAGTGCAGCATGCAATGGGCTGCTGCCGCAGGCAGGAAAAGTTACCATTAAGGCAGGGGTAGAGAGCAGTTCAGCATTCACTGAGGCGCTGTGAGGGAGGCCGAGAGGGCCAGTGCAAAGTTTATATTTGACTTTGACATGAGGAAGGGTCTGGAAATAGGAGCATGGCATTAGGTCACAGCTGTCTCTGTCTCGGGTGTGAGTACAGCAGGCATTGTTAGAAGACTGTCTTGTTCCAAAGAGTCCAGTGCCATTGGTATTGTCAGAAACAGTACTTCTGGGTAAAATTAAAAATAAAGATTGCCTAGTGTCTGTGGTCAGAGCTCAAAATAAGTGTAGGTACAAGGGACTTCAGACGAGGTATTGGGATGGGGAGAAATGGCATCTCTAAGACATAACCAGCTGCTCCCTACAACCATCTGGCAATGTCTACTTTTTGCACGTAGCTTACAAGGATGAAAGTTAAAAGTTCTGCTATAGATTCATCACTCAGCTGCAATGGGGCCTTTAAAGAAACAATGATAAAATAATCATGATTCCCCACAACATACATCAAAATACCTGCCAAAGTGATTGAGTTTGGACACTGTACACCGATGTGTTTTAAGAAAGTGCTGCAAGGTCAGATGTGTGAATAATTTCTTAACCTTCTGTAAGGAGAAGATTGGTCTTGGGATCAATAAGCATTCACATGAGTTTCAAAGAGACAGTTGGCTCGTGAACATGTCTCAGTTTTCCTGCGCATCATGCGCCCTGCAGAATTAAGACCTGACGGCAGCCGTGAAGTCAGGGGGGTTTCACCTACATCCACTTTGCCATTCCATTTGTCTGCATGAATAGGCTCAATTTAGCTCTGCGGTCGTTGTGTAGGAATGCTCCCCACTAGTCCCTAAATAACTGTGGAGAGCCCTGAAACATGTCCATAAGATAAAGTGTCACAGCTTGTTAAAGTGATGAAGCACACACTTGCGAAATCCAAATATTTCCTGCTTCTGTAGTCATTGTGTAGGAATGCTCTTGACCTGTCCCAAAATAACTAGCGGGAGTGCCGAAGCACCTCAATGAGATAAGGTGTCATGGCTGCTGAGGTAGTGAAGCCCCTGGTATTTTCATGCAGGCTTTTGCACCTCTGTGGGCAACAGTATTAAAGCAGTATCCAGAACTCAAAGGTGCGCCCACCTCCCAGCTAAGCACTGCTCACAGGCATGTCTTTGGAAACAAGGCTGCTTCTCATTCATTCGCTATACCATTCGCTTGCTCTCGGAGCCTGTTTCTGCCTGGCGTCTTGTGCAAACACCCACCACAGACTGCACAAAGATCCTTCATGTGCCCGTCTGTGCTGGTTGGAGTGGTTAGGCAGCCATTCTGGGTCTGGCCATGTGGTCAGCCTGGGAAGCGCTGGCATAGGTGGGGCTGGCTGGTACAGAGACTGGGTCAGCAAGACACTCAAGTGGGGAGCACCTCACAGCTTTGTTTTCAGGGAGGAAGCAGGCTGGTGATGGTGACAATGGCCAGGATGAAGGTGGTGGTCAGAGTGGGGCCCGGCACTGGCCTCTCAGTAGTGAGTCACCAGAAAATAGTGTCAGGCACGCCCCTTCATTGATGGCTTCAGAAACTAAACCAAGCCTATGGTTTCCAACTCTAAATTTCAAAGTGAAATTCCATCTAAACTTAGTTTTCACACAGCTCAATTTTTTTCTTTTTTTTTTTTTATTATTTATGTATTACATTTATTTATTGTGTGTGTGTGTGGCCAGCTCAGCCCACCCGGGGGCGGGGCGGGGCTGGCTGGCATGTGGTGCTGGGGGATTGAACCGAGGTCCCTATGCTTTTGCTTAGCTTAGCTTGTTCTGAGTAGGTGCTTTAGACCACTGAGCCATCTCTCCAGCCCAATTTTTTTCTTAAAATGATAAATTGTAGCACATTACGGGGGTCTTGGACCCGTGATAATGACAATTAGGCAAACTGTGCAGGGCTGCAGGTGCCAGCCTGTCCTGTCTGCATTCTGGTGTTATCTTGGGGAGGGGCCCTAGAGAATGGGGAGCATCGAGAATCAGGACAGTGCTGTCCCTCCCAGGACAGTGTGAGGGAAAAGTGCTGGGCGGAGCAGGACAGATTCCTGCGGCCCCCTAGCTTCAAGGTAGCATGATGTGAAAGTCTCACCTTACGTGCGTGGCATGTGGCAGCTTAGGGAAGGCCATATAAGGGTGCAGTAATGGTCCCTTCCTTGTTCCTCAGTGTCCTTGGTCTTCTTGTGTATTGGAGCCTAGCATGTTCCTGACCACCTGCCCATTCGATTTTCATCACTAGCTCAGAGCAGAGAGGAAAATGTGGAGCCCTTTGACTCACGCCAGGGAAGCTGCACCAGGTGTTTGTCTTTTCTGTCAAGACTGTAGCTAACAGGGTGCTTCCCCTAGGCCAGCTGTGGGGAAGAAGGTTGTGAGGTAGAGTAGCTACCACACAGAGAAGCCCCAGGAATCTGCCCCTGGAGAATATGCTTCTAGTCGGATTTTTTTTTTTTTTTTTTTTACTAGGAATTGAACTCAGGACCTTGAGCTTGCCAGGCAGGCACTTGTGCCACTGAACTATACACCTGACTCCTCTAGTCAGATTATAACCTGAAAAGTCAAGGCTCCTTGATGCCACTGTATTTTGGGCTTTGTTTGTCTATTGCTTTAAAAAGTTCAAGGTACATACTCGGGTTTCCTGGTATCTGGTTTAAGGACTTGGTAGGCAAGTGGGCAAGCCAAACGGAGGGAAGTAGGCCTTTTATAAGCTGGCCATGGATGAGGAGAGCTGCATAGGGTGGGCAGGCAGGCAGCAGGCAAAGTCCAAACCCAAGCTCCAGGCCCGACTCCTGTACACATAAGATGTGGCCCTGTTGCCCTGGGGCACATCCTTCATCCCCTACCACCTGCCCTTAGCACCCTTCTCCTGCCTCCCAGGATTGGTGAGATCAGGGGGACTGTGGAGCCACACACAAGGCTCTGCCCATTGGGCCAGGCTGATCTTCCTCTGGACTCCCAGCTGTGCTGTCCTGCGGATACTGTCTGTGCTGTCCCTCTCAGAGGGCTATCCGCTATCTCTGGAACTCTGGCTCTGGTTCTCTGAGCCAGGCTTTCAGTCTATACCTTTTCCTTCCCTCCTCATCACCTTCTCCTCTCCCACCCCCACCCCCAAGGCAGGGCATCACAAAGAAACAAGGGTAGAGGCCACCTCCCATGAGCGCACTGGCCTCCCTGAGTGGCACTTTGGCTGGGAGTGATGTCATGCCACTAGCTGTTACAAGGACTGTGCACAGCACCCCCTAGACCTCTACAGCCCCAGATTCCCTCCTATACAGCTATTCTGAGAGTGGTCAGGCCTGTGGGCTCCAGTGTCAGCCACGTGTGCTGTCCACCCTGCTGTGGACCAATGTCCCAGCCGGAGTTCTTACTGTAGGAAGACATCACCTCCCTGAGCCTTTTCTGAGAAAACATGAGAAATTAGGACCCAATCTTGGCCTTCATAGTTGGCCTCCCTCAACACCGCAGTTCAGGGACAATGTGGGCCACAGGCAGCTACCGCTGTGGGCTGTCTCCTTGTCCCCTACACCCATGATCCTGGGTGTATAGTACTGTACTTGTCCCCAGACTTTTGCCTCGTGTGGGTCCAGGAAACAACTTGACAGAGCGGCACTGCAGAGCCTCCGGCTTCGCTGAAGCCAACAGAGTTGCAAGCTGGGGACAGACAAGGCCTGACCTCGTCCCAGCCAAGCCAGGTCAGCTGGGGCTCACACAGTGGCCCTGACAGGCACAGAGGCATCAGTCCCAGACTGTCTTGTGGAACAGGACAGGAATGCAGCCCTTTTGTGTCTGGCATCCAGTGAAGTCGGAAGTGGGTTGTCAGCCAGGGCTGTGTCTCTGAGTGGCCTCTGTCTCCACTGCCCTGGAGGCACAGATGGTCTGTGCCACAGAGCAGGGCTGCTGTCCACACTGGTGTCTGTCCCCTCTTTCTCCTCCCCAGACTACTGGTGCCTGGATGACCTGTACCGTGAGATGGTGAGGTGCTACGTGGAGATCATTGAGAAACTTCCAGAGCACCGTCCTGACCCAGCCACTGTGGAGGGCTGCTCACAGCTGAAGCCACATAACTACCTGCTGGCCTGGCACACACCCTTCAGTGAAAAGGGTCAGGAGCTTTTCTCATCCCAAGCTGGGCACCTGCCGTGTGGTAACCTCCTTCCCCTGGGGCTTTGTCCTCCATTCCTGGTCCACTTTCAGGAATGGCTTCCACACAGCTATTCTGGGGGTGCATGGAAGCAGCCAGACCCATTCTATGGCTCCTTGGGGTAAGTAGGGCCGGCAGGTATAGCCAGGGCTGTCAGTGCCCCTGGGGACAGCAGGTGCTCACAGGAGGGCCAGACCCTCGGGTGGGACGGGCTGCAGTACTGCCAGCCAGGTGGGAAGAGGGCAAGTCCTGGGTGAGTAGGAGGCAGCAGGGCAGGTGTGGACTGCCCACCAGCCTGAAGGCCTGTGGTCGCCAGAAGCACTCAAGCTGCCTGGGAGTCGGTGCAAGGGACAGCCTCCCGAGAAAAGCCACTGGCACTGTCAGTTAGGATGGTGGACTGGAAGCCCTCTGTTCCCCTCAGCTGTCCCCCAGGAGACTCAGGACCCATGAAGGAGGATGCTCAGAAGCGATAAGCAGAGGCAAGTGTCCAAGGACGCACTTGCTTCATGTGTGCCAGCAGTTCCCGGGTGGTCCTCACAGCCCCAGAAGGAGAGGGAGGCCGATCGTGCCGCAGCGCACAGTGCAACCCTCTGCCACTACAGAGAGGGGCGAGGGGTCTACGTGCTGAGACGCAGATGGCCCTCTGTACAGACTGGGAAAGAAAGCAGAGCCAACCAGGTGCCTGGCTCCACCCCACTATGTTCAGAGAGGATGCACGCGGAGCATTTACAGTAAACCCAGCCAAGTCAAGTAGCATCAAGTGGAAAAGGTCTGAAGAGTCCAGGTAATCGCCCATGGGCTGGACCAAGAAACCAATCCCTCCCTGTAGATAGACAGTGGAAAGATGGGAAGGGTGTACAATTCCATGCCACCCAGGAGAATCACAGGCCGGGGACAGCCCAGGTGTGACGCGTACCCAGCAGGCAGAGGCCCTAGCTCCACTCCCAAGCAACACCAGCAAGCCAGCAGATAAGCACAAGCCAGAGTAACTGAAGCAAAGAATATTCCCGGGAATAGAGGGAAGCATCCCTGTGACTCAGGGTGGGCCGTCATGCCGTCTGCTGGGGCATATAACACGCCGACATGTCCACATACCTTCGAAATACATGATGCAAGCTTATGGTGCTACAGAGGAGCAGGCAAATCCATAGGCAGAGGTTTCAACATTAGCACTTCCGGAAGTGCTTCCCTGGCAAACTCAAGGACCTGAGTTCAATCCCCAGTTCCACCAAAATAAATAAATAAATAAATAAATAAATAAATAAATAAAATAACACTTTCACTTTAAGAAACTAGATATTCAAGAGCAAATTAAACTCAAAAGAAGTAGGTGAGATAATGGAGACCAACAGCAAAAGGGAAAAACAGAAAAAGAGGATGGGGTTACCACTGGCAGACATGAAGGTAAGGCCACTGCAGCCTACAAAACTGAGAGGAAAAGGGGGATGCTATCACCAGTTACATGCAAGTAAGCCCAACAGCATGGATGGAGTGGACACAACACCAGAGCTCCCTTGTGAAGATGCAGGAGGCCCAAAGTGCTGCGTCCTCCAAAGAACCCCAGAGAAGATACCTGGAGACCCTTCCAAACTCGCAGAAGAGACCACAGCTCCTCCAGAGCGCGGGGGCATATTCTGAGCCTGTTTTAGCTTCTGACATGGGGTGGAGCCCCATGTGCTTAACTTCTCTTCTGTGCCTCAGCTTCCTGCCTCAGAGACTCCAGGGAGGATGGAGGGTGGCTGGGGAGAATCGGGCTCATCCAGTCAGACCTCAGGCCACCCAGCCACAGTGGCCAAGAGGTTCAGCTACGTCACCAGAGATGATGCAGATCAGCAGCCACAGAAACTGCTCAGCTGCAGTGAGCATTAGGAAAGTGAAGGTGAACTGCAGCAAGGAGCCACCCCATCCCTGTCAGAGCGGCTGACAGAAAAGGATGGCTGGCTAAGCTGTGAGACATGGAGCAGTTGATGAGGGGGCAAAAGGTGGCCCAGGCACTTTGGGGACAAGGGAAGTACCTCAAAGAGTTATACACACGTCACCCTACAGCCTAGGCACTCCTGAGCAAGTGTCCACCTGTGAGCCAACTGGAACCCAGTGAAGCTGACTCTAGAAAGAAAAGTCCAATCTGGCTGAGAGTAAGCAGTGGGCACATGCCCACTTTTCTGTCTTCCCGAGGAGGAGCCCATTTTGTATCTGTCCCAGCCCACAAAATCTGGTTTTAGTAGCTACACAGCCTTTGACATGGGTGGAACCTGATCTATTTAATGTCTTCCATGTGATAGTTGGCCAGTGTCCTCATCTAAATGAACTTCTGATGGATGTGTTGTTACTTACATTTTTGTGCCTTCGAAGTTACTTGGGAATGCTGATTGCCAGGGGTGGGGCTTTGGAATGCAGTCTGAATCTGGGTGCTCTCCCACATAGGCTCGGGGTTCGGAGCAGCCACCAAAGCCATGTGCATCGGCATGCGGTACTGGAAGCCAGAACGGCTGGAGACCCTGGTGGAGGTCAGCATTGAGTGCGGCCGGATGACCCACAACCACCCCACAGGTGCGCTGGCACTGCTGTCTTTTCCAGCCTATGGTGTCAGGCCAGCCCAGAACAAAATGGGGTCATTTCTCAGTCTTCAGCTTTGCCTCAGGCCCACTGTCCATGAGGCGTTAAGCAGGTGACACTGAAGAAAGTACAAGGACAAGATTCACGTGGGTTCTGATACCCTCCCTGTCAGAGCAAAGGGAGGAGAAGCACAGGTCGCAGCCCTGACTGGACTGCAGGCTGAGTGGGGCCAGGTGCAGCCCTCCACCTTGTGGTTCTGGGAGGTAGGCAGAACCCAGCCAAGCCTCGGTCTCCACACCTGTCCCAGTGTCAGTGGTAATGGCAGTCATACCCCCCAGGGAGCTGAGGTGGGGACATAGTCTCCTGCATGATTCAAGGGGCGAGGCTGGTGCTGTGGGATTACTCCACCACCATGCGTCACTCAGAGGGACATGTCCTCATGAAGAACAGGTTGCAGCTGCCCAGCCCAGAATGTGACCCTGGGTATTGACCCAGGAGGTATGAGGAGGTTCCAAGTTGCTCCCTCCTACCTCCAGCCTGCTATCGCAGAAACCTCTAAGGTCACCTTTCCAGGGATGGTGCGGCCAAAGCTACTCCCCTGTCCCTCCAGCTAGTGCCCCAAGCGCGGGTGAGAGTAGCCCTGACTGCACAGCATGTATGTACTACTCTCACCTAAGAGTGCCAGGCCGCGTCCCCCCACCCTAAGCTTCTACATCGGCCATGGGCCAGGTCTGGGTGGCTGGAAAGCAGCTTGAGTGGGGCACCTGCAGACCGAGGGGCTCAGTCACTCAGCCAAACTGAAATCAGACCTCCAGGCCCTGAAGCGCTCGGCTAACACAGCATCAGGCCACAGGCGTCTGTCTTCTGAACCCAAGCTTCCAAAGCTTTGCTCACCAGTGTGTCTCAGCTCAGACTTGAAAACTCCTTCACCCACTTGCTTGAGCAAGACCCACCTATGCTGGGCCAGGCCTGAGGGTGTTCAGACATAGTCTGTGCAGACACACTTGGAAAAGCCCCCTCTCTGCTCCCCTTTCCAGTGGGAGCCACCTTAGCAGAAGGCATCACAATGTCTGTGACTTTGAGTATCTGTGTCCCTGAATGCTAGCCAGGTCCAGGAGGAGGCTAGGGACACAGTGCACAGGTGAACACCGCTGGGGTGCTCAGCTGTCCTGTGGGGTCATCCTGCCCCAGGGGTGAGGGAGAGGAGAGCCATGTGGGCAGCCATTCTCCATGAAACAGCTGTGCCAAGTGGCTGCCCAGTTCTTACCTGGCAGGGTCCAATGCAGAGCCGACACGGCCCTGAATGGACCAAGGGTGCAAGGCTGGGTCATGCACGGTGCATGCTGCGCATGAGGCAGGTGACAGAGCCGTCTCTGCCCTGTGCTCCAGGCTTCCTCGGGTCCCTGTGCACAGCCCTGTTTGCATCCTACGCGGTGCAAGGAAAACCGCTGGTGCAGTGGGGGAGAGACATGCTGAAGGCCATTCCGTTGGCCGAGGAGTACTGCAAGAGGACCATCCGGCACCTGGCAGGTGAGCAGAGCTGGGCCCAGGCACGGGCGCTGGGCCTTCCTCACGGCAAGAGGAAGCACTGGTATATGTGGGATCAGAGCAGCACTGGTGTATGTGGAATCAGAGCTCCTCCAGGCTCTGCCTCTGACTGCAGCAGTGAGGAGGAGCTGCTTCCTGCCTGAGTTCCCACACTGGCCGCTGTTGTCAGGGCAAGAGGGGACAGGAGGAGGCACGTCCTCCAGGGAGGGGGGACCACCTGCACCCTATACTGCTCTCCTTGCCTCTGCCCAGCCTGGGGGGTTGTGTTCCTGCCACACGCCAGAGATCCATGTCCACAATGGGCTTCTGCTCCCCACTTACCCAAAGCCTGCCACCCCGACACCAGTAACGTGCTAAGCAGCTTGTCAAGCAGAGGTACCAGGAGTCCGACCCTAAGATTTGGGGGAGTGGATGTCATGAGGCCCTGCTGAGGAAGCCATGGGGCAGCTAGATGTAGGGCCACTGGTCGGCCGGGATTCTGGGGTGCTCTCCGGGCTGATACTTCTGGCAGGTCCTTTTACCCCCAGGAAGGGCCCTCATCTCCAGGAGGGGAGGAGCCTCCAGGAACAGATTTAGGAGGTCACACTTGCATTGACATGTACCTGGTCACAGTCCTGGAGGATGCTGGGCCTATGGTAGCCACCAGCCTCTCTCAGGACTGACCCTCCCCTGAGCTTGGCCATCATGAGCCCTACTGCAGGACCCAGCCACAGTGCAAGGCTTTACGTCCTTTGCCTGGTTAATGCATCCCAGGTGGCACAGATGTCCCACCAGTGTGGTAGGGTGCAATGAAGTCCTGACCTTGCAGTAGGGCAGGTCTGGGTCAGTGAGGGCCCTGCAGGGGGAAATGAGTGCCCTACTCAGAATGTTCTGTAGGACAGTCCAGAGTGGACCCCCCTGGCTGGCTGACCTGGGGACCATACCTTGCTATGGGGGACTGAAATGTATGCCAGCCAGGGATGGCTCTGAAGGTCACACCAGGGATGGTCTGCTGGTGTCAGATTTATTACTGGACTCCTGAGTCCTCCGACAGGGACACCCAGCCCAGCCCTCCCAGCCAGCACAAGGCAGTATGATCTGCCACCCCTGGAGCCCCTGGGCCATTCCTGGTCCCCAGGACAGAAGGACCAGAGTCCCTCTGCTGGCCTGGGCTTTGCACAGCTATTGACAGAGCCATCTGGCCACAGCCTGGCCCTAGGGTGCTGTGAGCCCACACTGCCCAGGTCCTGGGTCCAGGCATGACTCCTGTGGGTCTCATGGTTGAGGTGTGCAAGTCCAGTGCTGCCCGAGAGCCCTCGGGCCCCTCCCACACTGTCCCCAGTTCTGACTTGGTCTGCAGGCATGTCCGTTATGCCTGGATCCCTCAAGGTCAGGGCAGCCAGGCCTAGACTGAGGCTTGGGAGCTCAGAAGGTGCCACACGGTGTGTCCTCCTTGCCAACAGAGCCACCAAGGGTTGCCATGTGTTTCCGGGGCTTGAGCAGAAGCTATTAATTAAGAGCATGGGCTTCCTGTCCCTGGTGCAGAGACATCATATTAAATTAGTGAAAATAATGCTCGGGCTTTCTCCAAGAAAGCACTAGAGCAGTGCAGCCCTGTTTGGCTCCAGGCCGGATCACGTCATCTCCACCTTCTCCCTGCAGCCCAGGGTGGCCACCCTAGAGGTATGCCCTGGGCACACCCCTCCACGCTTGCCTAGGCACCCACGACATGCCCTCAGCCCCTCATCTGTGCTTGCGTCTAGAGTACCAGGAGCACTGGTTTTACTTCGAAGCTAAGTGGCAGTTCTATCTGGAGGAGAGAAAAATCAGTGATGACACAGAAAATAAAGCCCACTTTCCTGACAACTATGGCAATGCAGAGGAGAGGGACAAGGTGAGTCATGCCCACAGTCAGTGGCAAAGTGGGTAGAGAACAGACAGGTGGATGCGGGCATGGATGGCTGGAGGGATGGGTGGTGCTGCTGTTCAGGTCCTGGGTGCTCCTGTGGAGAGCCAGCATCCCAGGGTGAGGGGAGGGATGGAGAGGTGGGCACCCATAAAAATGGACAGGTGGATGGATGGGGCCTGGATGGATGGATGGACAGATAGGTAGACAGCAGCTGCAGAGGGACCCCAAATTTGGACTGCCTGCACCAATGTGTGCTGCTTGAGACAGCAGTCTGACCTGGGCTCTCTCCAGATTTACAAGAAGTGGAGCTCAGAAGGCCGAGGGGGACGACGGGGCCACGATGCACCCATGATTGCCTATGATGCTCTCCTCGCAGCAGGGAACAGCTGGACCGAGCTTTGCCACCGGGCCATGTTCCACAGAGGTGAGGTGTCCTCCACCCTGGAGCGCCTTGGATAGGCAGGGGCAGCGCCAGCCCAGCTCCCACTGCAAGGCTCTCACCATGGTGCCTCCCGTGGGTGCCCAGCTACCTTTCTGCCTTGGGATCTGCAAATCCCACCAGGCACTATTTGGTGACAGGGCTCTTGTCACTTGGTGCTGCCAGTTCCAGAGCAGCTGCTTCCCTTGAAGGTGCTTCCCTTGAAGGTCCAGCCTCTCACACGCAGCAGTCCTGAGTGGGGCAGCTTAGCTTCCAAGCCGGTTTTCTCCCGGTAGTGCCCCCCACAGGGAGCTGATGTAGAGTGGGGACAAGCAGGCAGGGTAGGGTAAGCCCTCGGTGCTGGTATCTGGGCTCACAGTTTCTCCTGCAGAGGGCAGCATCCCTGGGTGGGGAGCAGCAAGTGGGAGGTCCAGAGCAGAGGGTAGGTAGAGGGAGCAAGCCAGGGCTGAGGCAAGGAGGAGGAGGAGGAGGAGGAATGCTGGCTTGGGACCAGGTGGCCTGGGGGACTGCGGCAGCTGCAGGCACAGGACCAGGAGGGAGCCAGCGAGCTGCAGGCCTGGACCCTGCTGGGGTGCCAGAGCGTCTCTGGATGGGTGTGGGAGTCTGTGAATGTGTGAGTGTATAATGGGTGTGGGTTTGACTGTACACGTGAACTGGCTGTGTGTGAGTTGAGAGTGGGTGTGGGTTGAGTGGTGCACTGTGTATGAATGTGGTTGTGAGTGTGGCTGTGCATGCGTGAGTTTTGTGTACTGTGCAAGTGTGCTTGTTGTGTGTGAATGAGAACTTCAGTGTGGGTGTGTGGTGTGAATGTGGGAGTGAGATCTGGTGTGTGTGCATGTGAGTGTGTATGTGCACACGGCATTGGTATGTGTCTGCATGGCTGTGGGTCGGTTTGCTGCCAGGCAGGTGTTGTCAGGGGCAGCGTGGCCCTGGTCCTGCTCTTCACTTCCTCTGCAGGGTCCTGCTGTGTCACAGCACAGCCAAGTGGGGTTGCCTAGGGTTGGGGCAGCTCAAGCCCCAGTCACTTGTGTCTGCATTACAGGTGAGAGTGGCGCAACGGGAGCGATCGCCGGCTGCCTGTTTGGGCTGCTGCATGGCCTGGACACCGTCCCCGCGAGCCTGTACCAGGAGCTGGAGCACAGGGCCAGACTGGAGGAACTGGGCGTCGCCCTGCACCGCCTGTCCACAGAGGAGAAGTAACGCGCGTCCGCGGCCCCTAGGGGGCGCCCTGGGCCCCACACATGCACGCACCTGCGTGCTCGCACTTGAAACCCCGTGCCCCACTGGGGTGGGGTGGGGTGGGGTGGGGTGGGGTGGGGGGTGCACGGCGCCGCAATTACACGTTCATCCCCCCTTGCGAAGAGTGAATACCACGTGCAGTATAAAGGACTCGCTTGGCCTACCTGAATATTCTTTCCTGATCTCACTGGAGCCTAGAGCTTTCCCACGTTCTCCTGGTCCTGCTGAGCGTGGGTCTGCAAATGCGCGCGGAGAGTGGTCTCTCAGACGTAGGATAAGTTACCAGAGCAGATGAATGAATGTCCTTTACTCACGTACTTCAACACTAACCGCAAGTCTCTCCTGAGCACCTGCCTCGCTCTCTCTGCCTCCTCCATGTGGGTCTGGAGGGCTGAGGCACCCGACCC